GCTGTTTATATAATATTATGGAGGTTTTGAAATATTCTTCAGAAAGAATATCATACATATTTTTAGATCCATACTTAACAATTGTTAATTTCCATAGTTAACAATTATAGTTAATTTCAAAATTAGCTGTTTATTATGAATAGTACCTGATTCTAACCATTAATGCAATGTAGAGATGGTGATTTTTTTCCTCCAGGGCAGGGGGAGGGAATTAGTATGTCTGTATGTCTGTCTGTCTGTCTGTATTTATTTATCAGAAGTGCTAGGGATTGAACGAAGGACCTCACATATGGTAAGCATGGACTCGACCACTGAGCTATACCCGCCCCTCCCTGAGACAGTGATTTTTAAGAGGGGTTAACTTACTGGCATGATAAAGATTTTCAAGTTCAAATGAACAAGTAGTCACTTACTTCTGAGAATTATCTGACACCGAAAACAATGCCACTATCATGAAAGAATCTGAATCATTTTCTGGAGATGAATATACTAGGACCTGCCATCTATGAACATTCATGTGTTGTGTACGTGTGAGATAAACAAATGGTGCACGTTGAGGTTGAGATTCATTTGGTATAAAAACAAAATGAAAGTAATAAAACCCTTTAAATGACGTTTGTGAGGACACTGTATGGCTTGACTGTTGAAAATGAAGCACTTACTTCTTCACTGACAAATTTCCACTCCTGCTTCAGTTCTTCACACCACATCTCCCACTCTTTTGCGGCTTCCAACAAACTCAGCCACTTCTCCCACAGAGCCGACATGCTTCTGAGCAGACAGACGCCATCACTCTCCGTGCACATGGGTCTCAAGTGTCTGAGGACCTGCCGTAGTTTCATGAACTCTTCTTTGGTTGACACAAGATTTAACACCAGGGCCTTAAGGAAGAAAAGAAAAGGAGTAAGAGGGATAGACTGTCTGTTAATTTTTTTTTTGAAACTTACATACAATTTTGAATCTTGAACAATGATTTTAAATCATCTATAATATTACAGGATCCATTTTTCAGTCTTTCTGGACGCAGATGAGAATCATCTATGTACTACTGTATTGCAAATGAATTTGGAACTACGAGGATAAATAATGACCCATAAACCACTTTTTCCAAGTGAGTGGGTTTTCAAAGGTAAATACCCTAGAAGTTCATTACATCATTTTAATATAAGTCTCATATTTTACTAGGTAGCTAATTTGTGCAATACTTATTGTATCAACCACCAGCATATTATTTAGCTTTTTGTTTTTGTATATGTTTGTTTGTTTTGGGGTAGATGATGAGCATAGATGATTTTTTTCAACTTTTTTTTTAACTGAAGTTTAGTTGAGTTACAATGTTACATTAGTTTCTAATGTACAGCATAGTCATTCAGTTATACATATATATGTGTGTGTGTGTGTATATATATATTATACATATATATGTATGTATTCTTTTTCATATTCTTTTTCACTACAGGTTACTACCAGCCATTGAATATAGTTCCCTGTAAGCACAGATGATTTAGAATGTTCTCATCCAAAGCCTAATAATATGGTAACATAGATTCTGATAGATGAAAATAAGCAAAAACTAAAATTGCTCAGTAATTGGGTATAAGAAGTAACCAGAATTTAGCACTTATGATAGCTGCATTAAATTCTCTGTCATTGATCCAGCAATGTCCAACAAAATAACATGCCAGGTAAAGCTTAACGAAGAATGGTCAATAAGGCCAGTATGCTACTGGGGAGAGGACTGTCCTGTGAACCCAACTTATAAAGTCTCTCAGGAGCACTGCTTCATCTTCCCCAAGGCTTTGGGTTTAAGGAATTTTTTTTTTTGACTCTCCAGCTCTGGTTGAAGATTTCTGTGGGTCATAACAGAGCCACATCCCTGCTGCTTCCCCTCCTCTTTCTGCCCGTTTTTTGCAGTCTTACTGGAGATTTGCAAATACTATTACCTTGCTCTGTTCCAAGCGCTCTAGAGCTTCTTTGTAAGACACTGGCAACGGGGACATGGACTGCCCAAGAACTGTCTCCATTTGACTGAGGTTACTGCAAATTTTCTCTTTAATTTTTTGATAGCACTTATAATTCTCGAGACACCTAGGGAGTAACAGTTAGAAAAAAAGTGATTTACATTTTATTTAGTGCATTTAAAAGGGGCCTAGTAGCACTGTATGTGAATGCAAAAACTCGAAACAACCCAAATGTCTATCAACAGTGAGGTGACTGAATTTTACTACAGACAAGTACATAAAGAAACTTCAGGGTCATAATGGTTAAGTTTGAAAAAAACGAAGTCACAGAAGAATACACATACAGGAAAATGGGACACAGACATGCCGCAAAGATATTTTAAAGAGCAAGGACATGGTAAATTAAAAAAACAGGATAAAGGTTACTTATGAGAGGAGAGGGAAGGAGCGCACAAGAGAATCCAAAAGTCATCACATTTATCTTTGAAACTTTGTGTACAAAGCAAGATTTTATCATGATGTTGTATGCCATATGCATACTTTTATAAACATTCTGTTGTGTGTACTCGATATTAATTAAGAAAAAAGTGAAATAAGTACAATAGAATATTTGCTATAGTTTTCCTTAGATTGGGGTTTTTCCCTTACTTTTCCCTGTTTTCCAAATTATTTCTAATGTGTACATGTTAAGTATGAAGAAAAAAATCTGTATTCTGTTCTTAAAGCATTACCTTTGGAAAGAATTACCTACCTTTCTACTTCAGCTTCTTTTACTTTGGCTGCTTCCCTCACGGCCGAGTTCTTAGAAAGTAATTCCTGCAGAGTGCACTGAAGTTGTCGCTGGGCTTCCGGGCTGCATACAGTCCCCAGATTCTCGGCGAGGTCCTGGATGTCTGCTATTGTGGATCCTAGTTCCTCCTGTTTCCAGCGAGGCCCCTCTAGAGACTCATTGGGATTACTGAGGTCTACTTGATGGGATGCAATGATGGCTTCAAGGGCGGTGATGGTCCCCGCCGCCCTGGAGACTGCCTCATTATAGCGCGTCATATTTTCATAAGCATCATTCAAGGCGTTCTGGTGAATGGAGGTTAAATGTTGTAAAGAAACTGTCAAGCTTTGGGGATTTTTGTCATTCTTAAATTTTTGTAATGCATTCATAGTATGTCTCTAAGTCATATAAGAGTGAGCATCTCATGCTTTTAGTTTGACAATACTGCACTAATATTTTTGAATAACTTTTTGTTTGCATAAATTGTTTTCAGATTTGCAAAGAAATCTAATCTAAGTTTAAAAATACATCTCGGCGGGGGGAGAGTGTAGCTCAGTGGTAGAGTGTGTGCTTAGTATGCATGACATCCTGGGTTCGATCCCTAGTACTTCTATTAAAAATAAACCTAATTACCTCCCCCACTTCTGCCAGAAGAGTATGTCCTTCATTAAAAAAAGAAAACAAAAAAAGCTTCTGCTTTTTGCATCCTCCATTTAGCCTGTAGTAACCACTACTTTGCCATCATATTAAATATACATCTCACGGGTCATGTCTAATGATGGATGTTCCTGCTCTAGAACTCTTGCATTAGACTATGAATTAAATAAAACAATTGAATATGGTTAATGTATATAAACTTAATCAATATTTGTGCAAAAATCTGAAGAGAAAGCAGATGACCTTCCCACCCCTCAGACCTCTTGCATTTTTAAGTTAATGACTCTGCCACTAACTGTAGTTTGGAGCACCTCACTTAATGTCTCCAGACTTCAGTCTTCTCAGTGAAATAACAAACAGTTGAAACAAGTAATTTTAAAGGTCCCTTCCAGTCCAGCTCTAAGCATACCATTTTGGGGATTTATATATATTGTTTCTGGAAGCTGTATTAAAATCAGAGATTTGTTAAGTACCAATTTAAAGAACATATTAAGGTTCATATGACTTTACATTTTTATAGCATTTATACCTAGCAAAACAGTTGAAATATATTATCTAACAGCTATCTAACAGAATTAAAGAAGGGAGTTAATTTCCCCATTCTATAAACTTAATGTGACAGTTCTGCAAACACAGTGAAAGGCATTATACTAAAACATAGTGTGTTCAAATGATGCTGAAGATATCTACCCTATTATTACAGGAAAGGAGGAAGTTTGCTGGAGTTGCTCTGCAACAGAGATTAGCAAACTTTTCCTGTAAAGAGTGAGACTAAATATTTTAGGCTTTGTGGGCCATCTGGACTGTCACAACCACTGAGCCCTGCTGTGTAGCGGGAAAGCAGTCACAGACAAGCCATAAAGAAATGGGCATGGCTGTGTTCCAATAAAATTTTATTTGTAAAGTCAGGCATTGTGGGCAGATCTGGCCTTAATTTGATGACCCCTGCTCTAAAATCTCAACATGAATCTTGGTTCCGTTACTATTGCAAGACCCTGAGAAAACTATTGATGGTTCTGAATTTCAATTTCTTTTTTTTTAAACAGGACTAATAACAGCACCCACCTCGCAGAGCTGCCGTGAGGATTAAAGTGTTCAGTACAGTGCTCAGACCTTGTAGGTTCTAAATAAATGTGGAGCCATTATCTTATGTTCTTTTCTCTACACTCTATTTCTTCCACTATGCCCTACTGTTTCTAAAAAACAAAACAAAACAAAAAAACCCTAAAATTTTTTGGTTCTGAGCTCAATAGAGGCTATAAGGGATATAGAAACAAAGGTGTCAAACTCATCTTTTTCCAAACTGTCAGGCACTGTATTTAGATGTAGAATAAGTTGGGATTATAACCTAATCCTTTGCAATTTTTTAAAATGGTTACTCTCTAGTTAATGCAGATATTAACTAGAGTAAAACATAAAATCATAAAATTAAAACAAGTACACAAGCCACCTGATTAAAAAAAAAAACTTACTGTGCGTGAATCAATGCTTGCATTAAGCTGCATGTGAAGATCTTCAATTTCGCGTAATTTTGCCTCCACATCACTAGCTTTGGAAGAGTCTTCCTCTCTCTGCTCCTCAAAAACAGACACAGCTTTAATGCTAAGCATTTCTGCCTGAACTTGTTCTTGAAAAGCTTCACAGTTATCCTTTTCATTTTGAATATGTTCAATTTTCAGATTTATAAGTATAGGCTGTTGTAACTGAGATTTTATCTGATTTAAAACATGGAAGAAATTTTCTAGTTTGTCCTGAAAATTTTTTTCATCCATTTCTTTCGGTTGGGATTCTAAGACTATGTGTTGGAGAACCTCGTTTAACTTCTCATTTTCTTCTGCATACAGCTTTATTTGTTGTATTTCTTTCTCTTTGAATGAGTCATCAAAGGCCTTACTTTCACTTAATCTCTTGATTACCTCATGATACAAGCACACGACTTTCCCGATTGTCTGACTCAGAATTTGAGCACTGAGCTGCCTGCTCCCTGGTGAGGTATCAGGAGTTGTCAGCACTGCTGCAGCCCTTTTCTTAGTTTGCAAATCCATAGCCCTCACTTTACCTAGTGATGCTTGATATTTGCCATGTTCTGCCACAAATGTATTCAACTGCTTAATTTTTCCTTCAAGTTCCTTTTCTTTCTCAAGTACTTGGGTTTGTAATTGGTCAAGTTGGGACCAATCCCAGTTTAGTCCTATACAATCAAACACTTCTTTGAGTTTCAGTACTTGTAGGATACCAGATTGGACACTAGTGAGTCGGTCTTTAAGACTATACAACTCTTCTTTAACATCTTGATTTAATTCTGGATTTAGTAGCAGTTCATTGTGTTGTATGTGGTCAACCTCCTTCTGAAGCACAGATGTTTTTTCATGGCATTCTCGGTAAAAATTTATCTTGTGTTCTACTTCATCACATTTATTTTGAATGAATCTTTGTATTCTGTTGGCTCTAGCCTTAAGATTTTTCAATTGATCATCTAGAAATAATCTTTCAAACACACTTAGATCGTTACAGACATCTGTCTGTTCCTGAAGATGAGTTGAGATTACACTCTCAATTTCCTGCAATTCCTTCTGAGACGTCGTCAAAGTGCCATGCTGATGTTCTAATTCAGCTTCTGTGGAGGTTGTTTCCATCTTGGGGATTATCAGCGTTTCATTTCCTTGAAGCAAAAGTTGAACCTTCCCTATTAAAGCAAATATTTTGCTTCTTTCTTCCAACTTAAATTCTAATTGCTGTGATCTTTGAGTTGATTTTAAAACTAGCACTTGGTACTGATTTTGTAAATCCTGTAGGAGGTTATTTAAATCATTGCTCTCATGTGCTGTAAGGTTAGGAATATTACCTTTGACCTCTTCAACCAATGATTCCACAACCCGCTGCTTGTCTAGAATGCCATCATGCACCACCTTGCATTTTCTGATCTGTGAAAGAATGTCGTCTGGGAGAAGGGAAATGGTAGGGACGACGTCACCTAACAGATTCTTGACCCATAAGATAGTCTCTTTCATTCTGTACCGGGTTTCACACTTCTTGATCTGATTTTCCACCTCTACGTTTAATGGTTCCAATGCTTCCACTTGCTTCTGCAAATTATTCATTGCACCTTCTAAAGTCTTCTTCTCTTTTTCTCCCCAAATCCTCTTCATCTGAAATTCAGCTCGCCCTTTTAAAACAGAAAATCTATGCTTGAGAGTCTGGAGTTCAGTGGCCAAGGCAACCATGCTTTGATTTCCCTCCTGTTCTGGAGAGTTCAGCCTTAACTGCAGACACCGCTGCTGTTGCTGCAGAGAAACTTCAAGGGCTTGGACCTTACTCATGAGAAATGTAAACTCATCATGTCCAACTACTTCCTGGGAATACTTCTTCTGGACCAGCTGTTCCACCTGCTCCCAATCATGTTCAAGTTGCTTCATCTGGCTTTCCAACAGCTTCTTATCCATGTCAGTCAGACAGTTTGATAAACGTTCCCTTTCAATTTTCATCTTATTTAAAGAAACTTTCTCTTTTTCTATCGATGCCAGGAATTTTTTAATTTTGTCCATATAGGTTGCACTGTCTAGTGGTCCCCTAGAAAAAGAAGGAAAATGGAGCTTATTAATATTTACTATACCTCAACACGAGATTAGCTGTCATTAAAAGCAATTAATTCTGCTTTGAATTCACAGGAGATCAGGCTGTCTGTAAGGACACTCTGTCCTTAAAATAAGTCAGAATCTTGTTTACTGTGACTCTCATTTAGTGTGTGACAATGCAGAAAGCTCTCCTATAAGTATCATGAAAATGCAGAACCACAGGAAAGGAGTGAAGAGTGGAGGGAACAAGGTATGTAAAAGTACTCTGTAACCTGTAAAAAATGTGTACATAGTTAGCATAGGACTAAGGGAAATGATGCCATCCAACAACTTTGTTATCATCTTACCAACATTAATGTTAAAGAGACTGACTAAGAAGGTAAGATCATCAGACTAATCTTTTAAACATAAAATTGTTTCCTCAAGGGATATCACTGAAAGTAAATCCCATTTAGGCAAAAGTATAAAATAAACCCTTTTAATAATGAAAAATATGTTTATACATTAAGATTACATATACAACCTTTTGCCATCATTTTCAAAGGAGTACTTATATGTAAAAAGAAACCATTACAATACATATATATTTAGTATGTTCCAAACTACTGAAACCAAGTAAGCTAATACTAAACAGTTGTATACATAATGTTTCTGCCACCCCCACTGTAGTTTAGAATAAACTCTTGGCCAAAAAAGTACTAAATTTCATAGGACTTAAATCTATTTTATGGATATTTATAGTGTGAGTTAATACTTTAATAAATTGATTTGTAAAATAAATAATTATAAAATTAATATGAATATTTTTGCATGAAACCAACAGAGTTTTCTTCAATGGTTTCCACATGAAATTAATTTAAGTATTGAAATCATAATATTTGTTAATAGTATAAACTCTTAACACCCTGGGCCTGTCCAATTATAATGGAGCCTATGGTTGAATAAAAAGAACGCATGTCCTGGGGGGTGGGGAGTGTAGCTCAGTGGCAGAGCGCATGTGTGGCATGCACAAGGTCCTGGGTTCAAACCCCAGTGCCTCCGTTAAGGGGAAAAAAATAAATAAATATACTCCAGGAGCTCAAAAAAAAAAAAAAAAAAGAACACACGTTCTAATTCTTATACTTACACTTTTAGAATTTCCTTTTCTGTCAACAAGGCTTTCATCGAGGATTCAACTGCAGCAAGGTGTTTCTGAAAATCTTCAAGGAGACAGTATTGACTTTCTTTATTTTTCTTCAAAGTCATAAGTGCCTGAAGCAGATTGTCCAAGTGGTGCACTGAATGCCTTTCACGGTGAGGAACCAAGGCACTTGTTTCCACTTTGTTAAGATCTTTAGTTTCTTCAAGTGGTTCAATGGCTGCTTTCTTCGCTTCCAACTGGGTATATAATTCCTAAAAACAAGTCAGGGCAATCAGTAAATATACACTCATTAATTCACTCATTCATTTTTTACCCCTGGCTCTTCCCTTTCAGTAGCACATTCTAGCCCAAGAAGGTATTTTAAATATTTTATCTGCACACAGAGAAACTAAAGTCCTGACATGTAAAAGATTTTTTTCACTAGAATCATGTTAAAATCTAGACTAACATTTACCATTGGTCTAACATTTAATAGCAGTTTGATTATCCTATTGTGTTAAGAGGTTCTGCAATGTCCAAAGATTTACCTTACTTTTATTATTTAAACGCATTATCTCTCTTTTGTTTTAGATAACTGTTCACTGTTATGTAAACTTAGCTAAAATTTAAGGCTCATTTTAAAAAACATGGTCTTATATTGGACTTTCAGATGCCTCTCCATAGCTATAAGTACATAAATACATAAACATAGCTATATAAACAGCTGTAAAAACAAAGAAGGAGTGCCCTGTAATGCTGATAATTAGGAAAAATAAGAGGAATTTGTTAGAATCAGAAAAATACATACGACTAAGAAAAAAAACGATGACAAGTCAGAATCTCCAAATTTTGTTACTGAATAAGTAAGTTTTTTGGAACTTTGTGAAAGAGAAAGACTAATGTTCATTAAACTCTTCCACTTTTTAAATGGAAAGATTTATACAACTTACTGATTAGTACATAATTATATAGTTACCAAATTGATCATCAGGCAAAGGTTAAGTAAGACTTTTCATTCTGTGCAAGCAAGCTTTTGGTAATTAAAATATATTGTATTGCACTGGATAAATGATGCAATCATGTTGTCAGTGTTTTTCTTGTTTCCATACCTCTATCTCTTTTAATTGTTCACTTCTTAACATAACATCTAATTCTAAAGGTTGATTTTGCAGCTCTTTGACTTTCTGCTCATCTGCAGTGCTTTTCATGCTTTCTTGAACATCAAGAGAAAGTTGTTTTGACAAAACCATTTCCACAGCTGAATTCTGAAAACATAAAAAGATTAATTGCTGAAAAGCCTACTTTCCAAATAAATCATTTTTATTTTTCTTGATGAAAACATTCCAGTTTCTTCTATTTGCTCAGATTAAAGACTTTCAAAAAGTCTATCTGGGCACTACCAAAGATGATTTTACCATGCAATATTTAACATCAATATCGATATCCCAAGAAAAATGAAACTTTTTTGACAAGATAGGTTAGGATCTAGCATTGCTCAATTATATACCAAGGCATATGTATAGTCTTTGAAGAGAGAAAACAAATATGGAAAAAGCAAAAGTTCCAAAGTTTATACTTGGTATTCACCATGATGCAGAGGGCTGGGGAAATAACAGGCATTAACCGTTACCCATTGGTAAAATACTAAGAGGATAGGTGAAAACCCCAAGATTTCACATTTTACAATATTAAGAATGTTATGCCTTAAACCAAGTAACTATAAGAATGACAGAACAAGTTATATATGGAATAATTTGATCTCTTCTGAAAGCGCTAAGAACTTGAGGTTCCCAATAGGATATAGAGAGATGGTGTTTGCATTCATTCATTCATTCATTCATTCTTTTAGCAAATATTTGCTGAGCACTAACATATACCAGGTACCATATCAGCAATTTAAAAAGATTTCCCACTATTTTGCTAAGGTATTCATTTTTATTTTCAGGTTACTTTATTTTATTTTTTTTAACATTTTTTA